ACATGCTGAGGTTAGCTGGTAGCTGGGATAGACTCCCGTGACCCTACAGAGGAAAAAGCAAAGTATAGATGATGGATGGTTACTTGGCACAAGAATTTTGTCTCGGAAGTTCTATCTGGTGGTGGAGCAGCCACCTCTGAGGATCAAAGAGGCCTGGAGGTGGAGTAGTTCAGCCTGTTAGCATTAGCACAAGGATGCTAACAAAGGAAAGCTAACAATCCGTAGACACGAAGTGCAAAATGTGCCAGAAGCAGGGTGATATTTAGATGCAATCCCACGACTCTCCAAACAAATGAAGGATCCTTAACATTAATTCTGTATTTAACAGTTAGCCAGAGCAGGAACGCTACACATGTAATGCTTCTATTACGGTGGTTTAGCTCTTTCTCCAAGTAGGAAAACAACAAAACATCATTTGCATTTGAAATGATGAAAACACTGAAGATGAGGAGTGATTAGATGTAAGTTTGTGTAAATGCATTGACATACTAACAATATTAGCACAATGCTAATTTTAGCATGCTAAATGTGAGTGTGTCTACTGATATGGTAATGTTTGGTACTAAACAGAAGCGTGCTAAAAGAAAAAAAAAAGTCGCAAGCAATATTTTGGTGGGTTGGGTTGATAATTGCATCAACTTAATACTGTGTGTAATTTAAACTCAAATTTTGTATCAGTCGATTTCAAACTATATTTAAATCGAGTTATCTTAATTAAATCGTCCTGGATTACCTCATTTTTCTTCACACTGAGTTCAGGATTTTCAGTCGTCTCCTCCATCTTAACATGCCTGGACGATTTCAGACGTCTAACACTGGTTTCTTGACTGTAGAGGAAAATTTAATTCTTCTCACTTGACGTTGTTAGTTGGTTGAACATGATTTCATTTAAAGTTGTCATAACTCAGAAAGACTGCTGCAAACTGTTGCGTAGACTTTTTGTTTTTGTTAAGCCTGTGCAGGCATTTTAAGTGGGCAGGATGTGATTTTTAATCTTTAACTCTTGGTGAACAAGTTCAGTTAGTGCAACTTAAATAAGTTTTTAAAAAATTCAACAAAGAAATATGAGTTTAAATTACACACAATATTAAGCTGATGCAATTACTGTAATTATCATGTCAACACAATTCATTAAAATATTGTTTGCAGCCAAAATATTTCACCTAAACACATTTGTTTACTTGTAATCGTGCATTTAATGAAGTTGTGACAATAAGCAGCCTGAAATACCTTTTAGACTGTAGCTAGGTGAAGAACTTTTAATATTATATTGTGGAGAGAAACCCAACAATTGCTTGTGGTGCGTCAAGAGCAATTGTTGGGTTTCTCTCTACAATATATTAAAAGTCTGGCAGTGGGAAGAAAAGCTTGTATTTACCAGAAGGACCCTCCGGCAGAACCAGGCTCAGAGAGGGAGGCCGTCTACCTCAACTGGTCAGGGTGAGGGGAGAGAAAAAAGAGAATAGTCAGATATGCTGCCATTAGCATCTAGCTAACATTAATGTTTATTATCACTGTGGAGACGGTTTGTACAAGAACGTTCTATAATGTGTTCCCTCAGCAAAAACTCAAAGAGTTCCACCTTCAGCACATCACATTACGGGAACGTTCTGTGTAAAAACACCTGAGGCCATCATAACATCTGGAAAACATTTTGTGACTGTTGGTTTAAGAACGTTCTTTGTTGTCATTGTGGGAACGTCTTATACAACAATGTGTTCCTTCAACAGCATCCCTGAAACGTCCTCAGAACATCGCAGGAAAAACGTTCCACTTTGGTTTTTAGATCACATCACAGGAATGTTCTGCAAAAATCCTGCAAGGCCTCGAGAACATTTGGACAACATTTTTGGAACGTTAGTTTTTAAAGAACATTCTTCCTTTTTATCATTTAACATTGTGAGAATGTTTTATAGAAGAACGTTCTATAACGTGCTCCCTTAACATCGCTTTAATATTTCACATTGCAGGAATGCTTTGAAACGTTCTGTATGAAAAACGTTCTGTAATCCAAGGCCTCGATAACATCTGGAAAATGTTTTTGAATGTTGGTTTGAGAACATTCTTCTTTAGTTTTTTTATGGAACGTTGTGAGAATGTTTAACAGAAGAGCGTTCTATAATGTGTTCCTTCAGTAACATCCTCTCAGAACACTGCAGGTTCCCCCTTTGTTTATATATCACATTACAGGAACGTCATAAAAACCATTTCATCATCGATCCTCTGAATGTTGACATGAAAACATTACATTAACATTGTAGGAACATTTTTTGGAAATGAAAATATCCTTAACATTTAATTAAACAATAATTTCTATGAAAAAAATCATTTGGAAATGGAGAGTAGTGTTATCCAACGTTGTGGGAACGTTCCCGGGGTGTTCTCTACTCGGCATGCACAGAATGAATCACATCATTATTGCCAACAGAAGCCTTTGTGCTTCTTTCTTTGTCGGCTTAAACGCACATTATTTTAGTTTCACACCTTAAAACCTTTAATCTCTTTATCTCAGCAGCATAAATATATGAAGAAAACATGATAAAAATACACAAAAAAATGTGGATTTGGGCTGAAGGGAGTCGTGTTCAGGAGACAATCCAGCTGTCAGATGATGCAGATGTTACACAGAGACACTGATCCCTCAGCTGTTGTTTTCTGTCGTTAAATACAAACTCACATTGAAACGCTTGCAGCAGCATCACACACTCCTTCTCTTTGAACACACACACTCGTGCTTCTTCTTCATTTCTTGCACGAGAGATATTCAAACTTGTTCGCGGCTCGTCTTTGCTGCTCTTCCTTCTCGAGATCTCGGAGGAGAAGCCAAATTTAACACGAAATGCAGTTTAAATTGAATTCTCTGCATCAGGAATGTCTTTCTATGCCAGATTTTTAAAATATTCTCAATATTTTCTTCATTTCTTTTCATTTTTTAATATATACCAATGTAAATCATTTGATTTTGAATTAAAATCTGCATACAGACACATTTATTTTTTAAAATTAGCGACGTTTATTTCACCAAAGGAGATCCTGAATAAGTTATGAGAGTAGAGTTTTTCACAAACACACTCAGTCGGAGGCCAGAAACCAGCAGCTCTCAGCAAACTGTGACAACTGTGTGTTTTATCCTTCGTGGGTTTATATTGAATTTTATTTCCTCCTCCCAAAAAAAAAAGAAGAAATTTTTTGGTTGCACTCCTGATCGCTCCGTCGGCGACAGGATGCTTCACTGATCTGTCCTCAAATTTATCTGTAACACAAACTGCGACGCCATCTGTAAAATAAAAATCTGTGTAACCTGACAGTATGGGAGGTAAAGAGTCTCTTAAGGTTCTGGAGTTTCACAGAAAAAGAGACGTCTAAAGGCACGGGCAGGATTCTTACTGGAAATGCAGATTTGGACCTGGATGCAAATATTTTTAATATTTTATTTTAACTCTCTTATGTTGAATTTGTTGTTTTCTTTTAAATTAAAGCAAAGAAAACTGAAGATGAACTGATTTTTTTTAGCATCACAATCACCTCCTGCCCGGTGATTTACAGCCTCGATCGAACTGACTTTGATTTGCTCTGCAGCTCAAACTGGGGGCTTAAAACATAGAAGTCCTCCTTCGACTGAAACTGAATGTTGTCGTGCTTTTATTTTTAACATGCAGGAATCATTTATCAACCAAGGACAATGAAAAAAAATGCAAATTTGAGGATGAACCCACAGTATTCCCCTTTAATTTGTGTCTCCTCTTCTCAGATATTTGACAAAAAAGCACTGAAATATTGCAGATTATTTGCTTTTTAGCTGAACAAAATTCAATACGCTGGAAAGAGTAGGTTGACAGGTGGTGTTTAGTTTAGTGTAATAATTGATTATTGGAATTTGGAGGTAATTTATTCTGTGTTAGTGTCAGTTTATTTATCAGAGCAGAGTTTTACACTCTGTAGAAACGAACAGCTCAGCGTGCATGAAGGCAGGAAGGTGAAAACTACAGTATTTGGTGTAAACAGTGAGCATTTTGACAGAATAAATAGGTTTTTAGACATAAAAATGCAAGAAAATGTCCAAATGTTAACCTATTATTGCACTAACCATTAAAAACGAACACATGTAGCACCAAAAAGAGACTCAAAAATCTAATTATTTCAGTTTATGTCCTACTTTTTAGTGATTATTTGGAAATAACTCATAATTTTTAGTCTTTAAACCTAAAATCACATGTAATTTAAAAAAAGAATGCATGAAAGTTAAAAATGAAAACCTCCACATGATGTATTAGGACTTGAGTCTAATCATAACTACGTTTCAGTGTGCAGAAAAACCTGGCTGCACAAATATTTAAAAATATCTGTGAGCATCAGTGCAGGGCTGCACCTGCATGACCTGCAAGCTTTCCATCAAAAAAAATACCAGCCGTTCATTCAATGCAAATTATACACTGGCGCCCCCTAAATGAGCCTGAACACAGTACAGATACATCAGCATCATCATCACCATCATCTCCAGCAGCAGCAGCAGCGGCGGCAGCAGCAGAGATCCGCTGTGAGATCACCCGGGATGCCCAGCCGACTCTGGCCGCCTGGAGAGGCTGCTGGGGCGGCGTGGAGGAGGAGGAGGGAGCGCCCGGTGGTCCCTGGTCCTGGGTGTCCAAGAACAGAAAGATTATTAGGATGCATTTAGGCTCTGAGTGCATGTTGAATACTGTGACTGTGCATAAAGAAGGCTGGGAGCCAAGTTCAGGCTCCACTAATGATAATGATTGTTGTAATAATATATGAAAAGCTGCATTTCCCCACTTAAATGTCACTTTATTCCAACACGGCCACCAACTATTGTGATTAGAATTACAATAATAATGGGAGGGGGTGAGGAGGGGTGAGGAGAGGAGGGGAGGAGGGGGGGTCTTTATCCCCCTGCGCGCCGCCATAAATCGCATCAAATGACAGTCGGTCAGTGAAGAGTTAAAGGGAGGAGACGGAGAGTGACACGCCTCATTGGGTAGATTATGTGCCGCAAACAAAAAGTGTGTGTCGGTGTGCCAGTCAGCCAGAGCACCGGGCCCCATCTGCACGCCTCTCTCTCTCTCTCTCTCCGGTTCCCTTCGACCGCCAGCCTCTCTCCACCCCGCTCGGTCACACTGCCAGTGAGTGTCTGCAGCAGCAGCAGCAGCAGCAGCGGCGGCGGCATCACTTCCAGCCCACCGGGGGGGAAATGTACTGATAAGCACGGAGGCAGACCGGGAGCGCATCAGCCTCGTCCATCCTCCATCACCTTCCTCCATCAGCACACAGAGCTCGCTCGCTTCTTTCCGGGGCTTTTTTCCCCCTCCTTTCTTGTTTATTGGTGGGTTTTTTGATTCGCTGCATCGCTCTCAAGTCGCTTGTGGATTATTGTTCCTCCTCATCGACGGAAAGGTAGGTTTGTGAGATGAGAGCTGTGGTTTGGATAGTTTTTGGGTTTTTTTTATTTTTATTTCTGGGTTGCGCGTCCTGCAGGCGCAAAAAACAACAGAAAGAAAGCGAAAAAAAAATCAAACAAACGCAGATGCTGCAACCGGTCAGAGCGCTGATTTAGGACAGTTTAGTGCGCGGCTCGGCTTTGGCAGATGGGTCAAACACCCCCGTTCCTGCCCAGACTCCCACCCGCAGCGGCTCTGAACCGGAGCTGTCCTCTGGTTCCTGGATGTGCAAACATCTTTTTTTCTTTTTAAAGCTTGGCCGGGTGGTTTTCGTGCAGGAATCGAACCGGAATCGAGGCTCGTAGCGCAGCGTCGTAGAGCCGCTTTTGGAGAGGCACCGTGCGCAAAAAAACGTTCCATGCTTCAGAAATCCTGCTTTAAATCCGATTTTTTTCTGTCCCATTTTACCTCAACAAATCAAAGACAAAAATCGCCTTTTTTTTCTTCTTTTCTGTGGCTGCAGCCACAAAACGAGCAGACACTGGGAACGAACAGACGACAGCTCATCTGCTCCCGCTATTAATCACCGTTAAGAGTGCAGTTGTTAGAATCAGCCTTTTTTATTCCTGAATTGGATCTCTTGGAGACGCGCAAAAGCCGGGTCGCTTCTTGACTGTGCGCAAACTTTAAGGCTTTTCTTGATTTTATTTTACTTTTCTAATCAGTTGGTGGCTTTATCTGGCATTTGGTTTTATTGTTAGAAACTATTCTGCATTAAAATAAAAGCAGCTGTGGCTAAAATGATGTGAAACTCTGCTGCAGGCCCAGCAGACTTGTGTTTTATGACTTTATAATGTTAATTGGCACAAATATTGTATAATCTAGTCGTCACTGCAGGTTAGAATAAACTAATTACAATTACTTTTGAGGATTTACTTTAATTTGAGCACAGACTAGAGCAGAGATTCTTATTTTTTACTATTTGATCCTCTTATTTGTCCTGTTTTTCGACCGTGCCATCCGTGCGTAATTTACGGCTCCACAGCTGCATCAGGTGCAGGTCTCCGCGCACAGCTTTGCGCCGTATTTAACGCCAGATCCGGAGGGGAGGAGAAGGAGGGAGCCGCCTAAACACACACATTCAGAGGTTAGAAAAGGGAGAAAAGAAATAATTAACTGGTCGTGCTGCTTTAATTACAGTCTCAGAGGGGAAAGTGGTGGATTATGGTAATGAGGCGACATACGCTGCCGCTTGTAGGAAGGAGAGAAAGGTTGGCTGACATGAAATCACTGACATTGACATTCCACTTGAAACCCATTGGACATGCTCTCTGCTCCGGACATGCAGCGGCTCCTACTGAGAGCGGCTTTTTCATTCTGCTTTTTGTTTTGCTTTGGGGGTTTTTTTTTCACAAAGAAAAAAGACTTTTTGGTGATTCTGGGAAACGATTTCAGACAAAAACCTTTAAATTCCTCATAATCGAGCATTATAATAACCATAGAACTCACAATAACAACACAGACACTGTGAGATTGTTGCATAAATACGCACCTTGCAGGAATTATTATAGGAATATTAGAGGCATGTCCAGCTTTGAATGCCGCCTGTCATGACAGGCACATGCAGAGCACAGGGATCCGCAGAGGCCTACAAATGCTAATATTAGTATTAACACTAATAAAAAGTGCAAACACCCCATAATAATAATAACAACAACAATAATAATAATAATAATAAAGACAGAAGAGTGTATCATAATTAACCATTTATTAAATGAATTCATTTAAAATAAAAGCTCAGTATTTTAACAATGATAGCCTAAAACTACCACAGCTGCTAATAATATTAAAAATAATAACTAACAGCATGAATAATTATTATAACTCTATATTATTATTTATGATTTCATGCATTAGATTAACAACGTTATTAATTTGATAAGTTGGCATTAATATTTGCTAATGTTTGCTCAGCTGTGATCTTTTTTTTCTTTTTGAAAATTTGTTGTTTAATTGACAAAATTGAGAATCTTTATCATCAATATGCTCAAAGTGATTAATTAGTAAGTCAAAGTAGGGAGAAAAAAAAAAATCGGGCCCCTAAACGCCGCCCTTGACAGCTGCTTTCTCCAATCTGTCTCCGAGGAGATTTATTCCAACAGTGGAGCACAAACCCACCGAGCGAGCACGGTTACGTTTATTTATGGCTTATTTTTTGGTTGATAAAAAATAATAAAAAGGCGATTTAAAAAAAAAAAAAAAAAGATTCTCAGTTTACAGTTTCAGTGCAGCACAGGAGATTCTCCAGGATTTTCAGCGGTGCTGCTGCTGCTGATATCTGCTCTTCCCCCTGCGCAGTGTGTTAACGTCCTTATCTTCTGTCTTTACGCACAGTGAAATGGAGGAGTCCAGCTCCCAGAAGTTGGTGTGGGATGGGGACGCCAAAGCGGTGCAGCAGTGTCTCACGGACATCTTCACCAGCGTCTACACGACGTGCGACATCCCGGAGAACGCCATCTTCGGGCCTTGCGTGCTGAGCCACACGTCGCTGTACGACAGCATCGCCTTCATCGCGCTCAAATCCACCGACAAACGCACAGCACCGTACATCTTCAGGGTACGAGCGCCTTCATCATGTATCACGCTTTTCATTCGGTGCAGCCCCTTTTACGTGCATATTTTAACGTTTCGATTAATCCACCTTATACTAGTTCATTTTTAAATCAAAGTGTTGCATCCAAACAGGCCTAGAACACCCAGTTCACTGCTGTGCAGGTCCACATTTATAGTATGTTCTTTCTGCACAGGATAAAAAAATATGTTTTCATGCATTATCAACAAACCCCCCGAACCATCATGTTAGTAGATTCTTGCAGCCCCCTAACAAGTCACATAATCCTTTATTAAGCCCTCACAAGCCATTTAAATTATTTCTGCAGGACAGAAAATGTTTGCTAATGCATTAGGCTCATTTATTTTGAAGGAGAATGTATTTATTTTCTAATTTGGCTTCAGATTCTTCAATAAATGTGTCATGTTGCACTTTTCCCCCAAAAACACCTATTTGGTCTGCAGGGATTCGGTGCAATTACTTCTTCTTGTCTGCAGCAATTTGAAGTATGAAAACTGCAGAATAGGACTTGGAAGCAGAATATTGGTCTGAAAATTCTGCATGAAAAATGACATTTGATTTGTTGCTCTCCAGCTGGAGATCAGCCTCTAAAACAACAACACAAAAACACTCCTTGCACTTGATTCACTTTGGACTATGATCTTTGAATTCCCCTTTTCGGCACAAAATGTCATGTTTTCAGTGTTTGCATGCATTTCGACGTCAAACACGTATCTCGCACAGATGCATTAAGTGTAAATCTGTCGTGCAGGTGGACACGTCGGCGGCCAACAGCACCTCGGAGGGCCTGATGTGGCTGCGGCTGGTCCAGTCAGCCCGGGACAAAGAGGAGCAGAACCTGGAGGCCTACGTGAAGAACGGCCAGCTCTTCTACCGCTCGCTGCGCCGGATCGAGAAGGATGAGGAGCTGCTGGTGTGGTACGGGAAAGACCTCATCGACCTGCTGCTGCTCAGCTCCAGCAGAGCACCGGCCAAGAGCAAAGGTAAGATCACACCTTTGGACAATCTGTGCCGAAGCCCGATTCAAGTTCATTACAGAATACTTAAGAAATATAAGAATTCTTGCAGGATTCTAAGACAGCGCTCTTTCGCGAGGTGTCCTAAGTTGGTTTTGGTTTCTTTTCCTCAGGTTCGTCCCACCACTCCTGTCCGGACTGCAGCCAGCGGTTCCAGTTCGAGTTCCCGTTCTTGGCCCACCTCCGGTTCCGCTGCACCAAGAGACTGCAGGGTATCACCGGCGCCGACGAGGAGTCCAGCAAAGAGAGCAGCACAGAGCGACCAAACACGACCCCGACCAGGACCAGCCCGAAGCTGGGCCGCTCCGAAGGCTTCGCCAGTCCTCAGGACACCAACAAACCATCTACGGACTTTCACAACCTGGCCCGGGATCTAGAGAACAACCGGACCAGTCCACCCAGCGACAAGGAGGCCGAGATCTGCAGCGAGAGCTCGGGGAAGAGGAAGTTCTCGGAAATAGAGGACAGGGAGTGCCGGGCACCCGGCCTCCCGCAGGCCAAGTCGAAAGACGAGCTTGCGACTTCGGCGCAGAACTACCGAGGAGTGTACGGCCTGGAGGAGAACCACCGGTCCTTCTCGCCGCCGGGCTCCACGGAACACAGCGAGACCAAACGCAGCGCCTTCACCGAGGTCAAGAAGTCGGGCCTAAAACACCATGGCGGCAGCAAAAACCTCCAGAGCTCCAACTCTGAAAACAAAGATGGAGGCCGTCCGAGCAGCAACCCCTCAGAGAAGCACCTGAACATCCGGCAGGTTCTGTCGGAGACCCAGCCGCCGCAGACCTCGCCCATGGGCAGCGCCTTCACCTCCGTTGGTCAGCAGGGCAGCGGCGAGAGGAAGAGCGCCTTCAGCCAGCCGTCGCGCTCCTTCTCCCAGGTGTCGCCGCTGGTGATGCCGCCCAAGCTGCTGGACTGCCACCCGGCAGTGGGCGACACCATCTCGTCCAACAGACTCTACCAGGCCGACCACCTCGCCGCCAAGCTGCAGGGCGCCGAGCTGGGCGCCAACTGTCCCGTGCCGGGCGGCGTGGCCAAGCAGAACCCCTTCGTCTACGCCACCGCCTTCTGGCCCAAGAACTCCGGACCTATCCAGCTCCAGATGCCGTCGGCGCTCACCCTGCTGCCGCCCTCCTTCACCTCGCTCTGTCTGCCGGCTCAGAACTGGTGCGCCAAGTGCAACGCCTCCTTCCGCATGACCTCGGACTTGGTTTACCACATGCGATCCCACCACAAAAAGGAGTACTCCATGGAGCCTCTGGTCAAGCGGCGGCGCGAGGAGAAACTCAAGTGCCCCATATGCAACGAGTCCTTCCGGGAGCGGCATCACCTGTCACGTCACATGACCTCCCATAACTGACTTTTAAAGACTAACAGCGGAGGGACTTTAATTTAAGGAGGGATTTGCCTGGATTTAAACGCTCCGACCGGAGATCGGCCACTTAAAGACACTAAAACACCCCCTTGCACTTGTTTTCACTTTGGACTACGAATTCCTTTTTTTCGGTCTGTTTTCTCCCCCTGTACAAAAATGTCATGTTTTGGGTGTATGCAAATGCGTTTTGACTTCAAAAATGAATCTATTTATTGAAGCACTTAAAAAGTTTGAGAATAAGGGAAGATTTAAATATGTGTAAATGTACAGTAAGTTGTATTTTATATCATATAAATGCAAATATAGAGAAGAATTACAAATGTAGTCACACGTCATGGTTTACAACGCGGCAAGTTTTTTTCATGTCTACGATGAATATGGACACAAATTCGGGGGATATTATGTCAGACTATATTTCAGAGTGCATGTAATATGAAATAATATTGATTTAAGATGCAGTCTATACATTACCATGTACATAATTTGTTTTATTTGAAATACAAAGTGTAATATTTTGTGTCAGTGGGGAATAGTTTCAGTGTTTCTTCCTTTTGCGGAAATTTACTACTTGATAGTTTATCTAATCATGTTGAATGCATTGACAATAAAATAGCTTTATTTTCAACTGTGGCCTTCCTGGATCCTTTTCTTTTTTTTTTTTTCTTTTTTTTAAAACTTCAACTGAATTTAAAAAATAAAATAAAAATAATTACAGAGAAAACTCCTTTGCATTTTGCATGTATTAAATAAGATCTGCATTATTATTTTTATTGAAAATTATTATTATATTATCTTTAAAAACAAGCACAAAACTCAAACATCAGATTTTTATTTCAGCCTACCCAGTTTGTATTTTTTAAATAGATTTTTTTTAGATCCATTTTCTTACACATATATTTTAAAATACAATAACTACATCGTGTATACATCTCGCCTCTCAGGAAAAAAACACATTAAAATGTAATTTTTACTATACATGTAGAATTGGATTTCATTACATATATTTCTCTTATTATATAAATATTGTGGTTAACATGGATACTGTTTCCTATGACTTTTCCATTTCAAAACAGAGCCCACACTTCCAATGCTATAATTATTATTATTATTATTATGATTGCGTCAGACTACATTAAAATTGGAGCGCATTATCACCGACGCTGACTTTTCTTTAAATGCTCGCGTAAATGTGAATATTGGGGAGAAACAAACCCCAAAATAACACTTTTCTATACGTGCAAATTCAATTTGTCCACGCAGTTTTGGATTTAATATGAAAAATGCGATCGTGTATTTATCGGATCAAAGTTTTTTTGCTTTTGTTTTTTAAAAAGACGAGAAATGAATTCAGAATTTGCCCCGGATTTTAAATTTCGGTGCAGAAAACAGAACCGACTGTCGGCTTGTCGGTGCGCCTGCACGACACACAAACGTTGGTTTTTCTCTGCAGAGTAACATTAAAGCTGCACGTTGATATTCCTAATAAATAGATTAAATTAGCTTTAATTCGCAGAGAAAAGCTCAGCAGCCCTGAGTGAAGGCAGGAAACCTGAGTGCAGCTACACATGGGTCAAATAAAACCTTATTTCTAGTTATGAATAAACTCCTGGATGCTGTGTAACCTGCAGTGAGGACAGAGAACCGTCTGACCTCTAATACGGTGAAACGCATTAAAACCTGAGCCTGTCTGACCTGGATGTGTTCAAACTCAACAGTCAGGGATTCTCTGCAAACAGCAAAAAACCCTGAGACAGACAGACGAGGATTAAAGTCTGGATCAATAATCACCATTTACTAATTACTGCATGACTGTATAGACATACATACATACACACATATATATATATATATTAAAAACAGATGAATTAATGCCGAGTGAGGAACATTTCAGGACAGAAACCTGACAGGAAACGTGGAAAATGATTCAAGGGCGCCATCAAGTGGTCGCCATGGAAACTACACCATGTAAAAGAAGTTGTGCAGTTATTTAAATAAACAGCTAAAAATAACTGTATATAATAATTGTGCATATAATATATAAAAGAATAAAATGTCAGTAGAATCACTTTACTGCATGTCATGTGGTCGATGCAAACATTCACAAAAAAGGTTCATTTTGATGATCTACAGGCAATAAAATATGAACAATAGTCACAATTCAGTAGAAATGCAGCCTCATGAGTGAATTTAAGGATTAGTTGTGGGACGACGGATTCATAAACTGTACTTAAAAACAACATGAATATCAATACAAGCAGCGGAAATGTAAGTCATGGTTATGGATTTTATGGCTGAGTTCTGATGTCAAACATCATTTCAAGCTGCTAAATTTGCAGAACCTTTTATTACTAGTCTCACAGCTCTTTAATTCTACTTCTAGATTAGAAACCAAAAGGCAGGAGTCGGTTTTGAAGCTACACAGACGACACATCTTGATCTAATCCAGCCTCCAGAGGAAGATGCAGCTTGAGCTGTTGAGGATGTTTTTTGTCTAATATTTAAGCTCCGTTCAATCTTCAGCACAATAACTGTCACAGAAATGATCCTCACAGGAAACTAGAAATATAGATACACAAGCAAATAGAGCTTGAGTGAATTTAAAGGGTCAGTTCACCCACATTTGAAAGATAATCTACATGAATTAATCCAAGTTTTGTGATGTGTTGTCTGCAATGCTCACAGGTGAATGTTTTTTTTACTCCCAAACAACATTCTCAGGAGGATGCAAACGCTTTACAATGAGAAGCTTTAACTGTTTTCTTCCAAATGTTTAACAGAAAAAACACTTTGATTGTACATATTCATTGTTTAGAGCAGCAAAGTGAGAATTATTCAGACTATTCTAATCTTGGATGGACATCATCATCATTAGGAAGCTGCATTAAAAACACTTTGGATTATGGTAAAAAGGCGAATTTTGTCATTAAATATAGTTTGTTGGTTGAACAGATTAATTAAAAGTTGTCTGAGATCAAAAACATTGACGTAAACCTTTTTTTTTTTTTGAGGATATTTAGAGCCGACATCGAGCTAACGGGAAAAAAATAGAATTTCAGATGCAAAAGTGTAAATAATCAAACCTGAGGGTCAGAACATGAAGTTATCAGAGAGATATTTGTGTTGTTGTGTCTTGAGACATCACAGGATGGTGGCACTCATCCGTTTTCTAAATCACATGAAATTAAACAGTTTGTTTATACAGTTCAATACTGTTAATTTGAAAATTAGAAATTTAAAATAAAGATGATACACTAATATAGAAGTTATGTGATAAATATCGTATATTAACTGGCCCTTGAACACTGAACTGTTAATTTGTACAAGTGGCGCAAATTTAGACATGAAATAGGAAAAAAAAAAAAAGGATATTATTTTGTATATTTAAACCTGCTGTATTTTCCATTACTGTGGCTGTTGTTGCTCTGTGACTGACAGTAACTTTGCACTTTAAAGCTCTGCTGTAGAAAACGTTCTTGGAGAGTTATCTTTTAAACAAAACTTTTAAATTCAGTTTTATTTTATTTATTTATGTTGCATTACACGAGTGATTTCAGGTCAGTTTACATGATAAAGACCAGATTGCCCGATGTCATAGAGAGAACAATATTGCTCAGAAAACAAAAATATAAGAAAATAAAATCAGAGCTGAATAGACAAGCAATAAGGTATAAGTAGGATACAAATAAATAAGCTAAAGTAAGACTAGAATAGAAAAGTAAGATACTACTACTAGCATACTACTAATACTGGCAGTTATTCTGATGTAACAAAGTAACATCAGGCATTAAACTGAACTATTACTCATGAAATTGAAGCAGGAAACTTGAAATAACAACCTTAGACTTTTGTTTTGAAAATTGTTTCATCCCTTTGATGACTCCTCAGATGAAATAATATACAAAAATGTTAGATTTTTATAAGAATATTGAAATCTTATAATCAGTTAAAATATCGAAAACCCTGATTTAAAGGAATAAATCAACACATGTAGGACCTGGAATATTGCGCATTAAATTGTAACAGGAACAACCGTGGACGTTTAATCTGAAAATAAAGTAATGTTGCATCTCTTTAGTGAATCCTCAGATAAAAATAATACGCAAAAGTATTCACATTTAAACTTTTATAAGATTATTTAGAACTTATAGTAAGTTAAGACGTACAAAAACCCTGATTTAAAGGAATAATCCACAGATTTTGGACCTGAAAAATGGAATATTGCACATGAAACAACAACCTTGGATGTTTAATCTGAAAATAAAGTAATGTTGCATCTCTTTAGTGAGTCCTCAGATAACAATAGAACGCTAAATATTCATACTTTGACTTTTGTAAGAACATTGGGATCTTATAATAAGTTAAAATGTCCAAAAACCCTGGTTCAGAGGAATAATCAATACATTAAGGACCTGAAAAATGGAATATTGCACGTTATACTGGAACAGAAAAGTAATATTGCAAATGGCATTAATATCAATATTTAGATTTAAGTGCATTTTCTCACTTTCTCTGTCTAATTTTAAACAAATAAAAAGATAAAAAATGACTCAAAATCAGTGCAAAATGGTGTTTTTATCCAGACACTTGACAGGTCAAAGATCAGACTGTGACTTCTTTTTTAGCATTTGGCTGCAGGAAGCAGGAGCAGCAGTGAGAATGTGTCGGATAAAACCCACATAAAGCGGTCCGAGAGGATGATAAATTACACCAGCGGCCCACATCTCGTCTCACATCGACACACCTCCCCGTGCCAGCGATCCTCGACGGGTCGATCTCAGCGCCGAGGCATGTGATCGGAGCTCGCGGCCACCAGCGCCCGGCTGATATTCGGTTGCCCTGCTCATGCCTCGCTGCTGGTGTCATCGTCCCTTTTGTGCCACCGCCTTTCCCCCTCCACACATTTGTCACTGCATCACTCAGCGCCGAGCAGCAGCGAGGGACAGTTTATAGTATCTCTGCTAAGCCGGCGCTTCCATCTGGCCTCCTGCCCTCCCGTTGCACCACGTTTCTACGTTTCGCCGCCGTCGTCTGCAGGGAACTGAGCAGGAAGCAGGTAGAGAAGCTCGGACAGATTCAACTAGAAACCCCAACTCTGATACTTCATCTGTGATCCAAACACACTCCGTAAACTCAGCGCACACGGAACAGGAAGTAAAACAAGACGTCTGCTCGCGCACAAAAACGTGGAGAAAATATTCAGTTTTTTGCTTCAAGATGCACCGAAATATATGAATGTAGCAAAGTTTCCTGTATTTTACTGTATTTTTACACTGTAAACATGTCATTTCCTTGAACTTGAAGCTATTTACTGCACAACTGATGTCAGTGCTCCACAGCAGTAATATGTACTTACGTGTAGTCTGGTTTATATTTATTATTATACGTCATTTTTTAAATGTTTGCACTGTCTTTGCACACATTTCCCCTCTGTGGGATCAATAAAGGCTGATCTTATCTTAGAATATGAGGTTTACTGCTGTACTGTAACTTGATTTTATCAATAAACAAAACGTATCTATATCGTGCTGCCGCTGACATCAGCATCAACTGTGACTATAGTTGCCTGTAAATCACAATTTCTGCTTTGAAAATGTATAATAACGGCTGTGAATCCTACATATAGAC